AATAGTGACCCCCATGTGTGATACGTCGTTGGAAAGCTCTGAAAAAATGCTTTCCAACCATACCAAATAGCATTACATTTGGGTTAGTAATTATCGTGCAAATCAAAAAATAAACTAATATGATACATTTGAAATCTGTCGTATTTAAAACGCAACCGGCGAACATTAGACGAACTAAGAGAGAGAATAATTCAAGAATGTCGAATGGAAGTCCAAGTTAAATACGATTTTCCATGTTTATTTTTTGATTTGCACGATAATTACTAACCTAAATGTAATGCTATTTGGTATGGTTGGAAAGCATTTTTTCAGAGCTTTCCAATGACGTATCACACATGGGGAGTCACTATTTAAGATTTAAAAGTTGGGGTGGCTAGGGCGCAGGGGGTGTGAGGGGGTGCGTCACCAACAATGTCATTGTGATTCCCCCTCCGAATTACCGAAACGGATTTTGATTTTTTTGAATATCTCGTTTATTTACTAAGATATGGGGGGTGGTAAGTTTTCAAATTGTCACCCTGTATAGTATATTCTTCAAGCCTTTAGATTTATCTAAAAAGCCCCTATGATGCATTTATTATTTATAGTCTTTTTTAATACGAATAATAATGGGTAAGATATTGCTACAAATTTCATATACCAAAATAACTCATACTCCGCAAACGCACATAGGTAAGTCCGAGGGTAAATCGCATATCAATGGGGATAATACACGCTTAATGTTCCTACAGAAATATAACAATATCCGCCGGATATGCGGCATTTTTTTTCATTTGCCTGTGTACGAGATTACTACAGATATTGTACGATGATTAGTAAACGTCTGTCACTGAAATTTTCTCTTTATATAGGTTAGAAGTAACGCATGCACGTATATCATATACTTCTGCCGAGCAGTCCAATTTATTTTTATGTAATTTTTCAAATTTTGACAATACAAGAAACAAAAGTTTATTATTATTAATAAACGTGTGCCATGGATTTTGAAATGACATTCGAGAGAATAGGGCGCTAGCACATTGACAGACGTTTTTCGTTGTCTATTGGCTTGGTGGCATATACCTATTGTGTAATTTTTCAAAAATTGCTAAAAAATCGCAGTCTGTCAATATGAAGTATCACATCACACATGTATTACTTAAATGCATTAGTAGCAAATGTTTATTAATAAACTTTTGTTTTTTTGTTGTGAAAATTTGAAAAAGTATCTACATAAAAATAGATTTGTCTGCTAATTAGACGCAGGTTATTATACGTTTATACGCTACTTTTAACCTGTTAAGAAAAAATTGCGGTGACGACATCATCGCACAAATTCTGTCGTTATCTCTCTGTCTAAATTTTTCAATTGTGTTCTTGAATATCCTAATCAAATACTTCTAAAATTGCTTAAATTAAAAAACTTATTTTCATTGCATTTTTTTTAAATTTCGATAGGTACGGAAAATATTTGCACCCGCTCCGTGTGATTATCTTGACTAATTAATTTTCTCCGTCCCTCAAATATACACTGTCAGTCTTAACGAGCTTGTTAGTTCAATAACTGTTCTTCTATGGTGTAATTTCCGAAAAACATCCGCCCACGTCAATTTTAGATTGTAGGGGGACTTTTTTACGATACACCAATAAGTTTAAAGTAAGGTAACAGGCTAGTGGCATATCGTTGGAAGGTCTTTCCCTTAATTTAGAAAAGGTATTTTTTTTAGAATTGCGATCGATTTAGTTTCCAAAATATTTTGCATTAAAGATCCGTATGCAACTAATACATTTAAGGGTTAGTATTCCGCAGCGCTAACGGAAGAAAAGATTGGTACAAGCATAGTGTATTCTATTCTTACACTATGGTACAAGTGAAGCAAGAATTGGTGTTCTTTTAGATAGGTTTAATTACCGGTATATCCATTTGTAACGATTCGATGGAGTGATTTTGTTCGTATTCAAAAACCGAAACTTTTAGTGTGAAAAGCCTATTCAGTACACACCACACACGGAGTCATTGACATGTATGGAAACCGTCGATTATTTGGTACAATAAGAGAGCTAGAGTAAAATTGTAAATAAAAAAATTAGTGTAAGGTATGTTTATTAATTCTTGCAAATGGCCACCAAATTTCGGGGGTGTTTTAAAAATAGAAATATTCACAAAAAAACACTGTTGGGGTTGTTAATGGGCCTAGAACTCGGGATTAAAAGGTCAGCCCGCCGTTCTAAGAATCCCTTAAAAGATGGTTGACATTATTTTACTGCATTCATAGTAAAACTGAAAGCCATTGTGACTGTGTTGGTGTTCTGATTGATTTAATTAACCTGCAAATAGGCGAGTTTTCACTGAGCGGTTTAAATTTGCATGAATATAACATTTGTGGACTTATTGGCATGAGTAAGAACTGTAATTAAGAGAATATAAGTGTTCTATTTACTAGTATCAGTTGATAAGTGATGGCCATTTAACCGTTCTTGGGGAGGTTACATTGCGCGTTCAATCCCTTTGTAACCAGGTTTCCCATCATAGATAAGTTAAAGCAATAGTATATATAACTAGGTATACAATTAGTGGATGAAAAAACCACATTGCGCTGTTTAATCCCCCTGAGCTTATTGCACTTCTGACTTCTCGCTACTAGTTGGTGGGCGCATTTGTTGTTTAAATTTTATTACACCTCATACAATTTTTAACCCCTTACCTCGCCCTTACATTAGCATGTTACCCGAAGATTAGCGTTGGGCAAAAAAATCGATTAATCGATTATAATCAAACGATAATCGATAATCGGATTTGATTATTCTATTAAATTATTAATCGATTTATTTTGAATTAATCGGTTATTTGATTAATCGATTGTTTGATTAATCGATTATTTGATTAATCGGTTATTTGATTAATCGATTGTTTGATTAATCAATTATTAAGTAAAAATTAATTGATTATTATTAGCTGGATCATCAGTTTACGCAAAAAGGAGCACTCACAGCTCACAAGTATTATTTTATTTTATAGCGGATGTTAAAACGTCAATTTAAGCAGCTAAAATGAATTAAGATTGTATCATCAAAACTAAAGCACACCTCATCGGAGAGTAAGCTGCCTAATCATTTATTTTTATTTATTTATTTTTATTTTTGACCTTCATTTTCAAATGGGCAGGGTTTCAGCCAAGGCTGTTCTACCAACCAACCCACTATGCATTTGTAAATATCCATGCCCGAACCCGGATTCGAACCAGGGACACTTTGTTGATTATTGATTAATCGATCTGCCTAGTAATGAACGATTTGATGAAAAGAATAATGGAATTTTTTTTTTTAATTATTAAATAATTAACGTATTAATGCATACAAACAGATATTTATCACTCCTTGTATGTGACAATCGACTTTTGATTAAACGATTAGGTGATTAATCGATTATTTGATTAATCGATGATTTGATTAATCGATTAATTGATTAATCGATTATTTGATTAATCGATTAATCAGTGTAATCGATCGATTTTTCCATAATCGATTATCGATTATTCAAACCCGTAATCGCCCAGCCCTACCCGAGATAACGACAGAAAGTAAGTCATCCGTCCAAAGATGAATGAAAATAATCAATAAATTGGAAACAATGTAACTATCTATTTGAAGCGTGAATTCTTGTGTACCTAATAAGTAAGACTGATGTTTTCATGTTGTACCTATAATTTCAAGTATAATGAGATAATTGTGTGATTTTTACTACGGATTATTAGAACTACATTCCTAAGAAGTTTGTAATTCTGGTATTTAGGTAATCACTTTACAACTTCACAACTTTAAAATATGTAACTTATAAACACCAAAATTTGCAGAAAATATATTTTCTACTTTTATCATTAATTGGCCGTTAAGTTATTAATCCAAAAATCGTTGAAAAATTTCCGGTAGATATTCACCCTTAAATTCAACTAAAGACATGGGTGAATGTAAAAGCCGTGCGGGATATCTTATTATCAAAAGTTAAAGGAGATATGTTACCAACAATTTTTGAAAAAATTGAGGCGGCAGTGTTTTTTGAGGTGTCATTGGCACATTCGTCTAGAGATTACATAAAATTAAGCACAAATCGCGCCATTTGTGGTTGATATAAATATATTATTGAGTGCACCACCAAAACATTTTTTGTGCGATGGTAACTAAATTGTAAGCCTTACAATGCTAGGTTCTTCTCTAGAATATAGGACTCACAAGTGGATTAGCTTGATGCACATTCAACAAATAAATGTCAATATATGAGCCGTTATCATCATATAACCAGAGTACTACTCTATTTTGGAGCCCATTATATTGAAACGAAAACATGAAACATAATTTACTGCCGTTGTAGATTGGAGTATAACTTTACGTCTCCTTCAATAAATTTTTTTTAGACAAGATTCTCTTTAATAAGATAAACTTCTAGAAAGTTTAATATTTCTTTAAAAGTTTTGCTTTACGACAACATTTGGTAGAAACTATTCGATCAGTAATCTAACGAAGTGGTTAAAGTTGAAGAGGATCTAATTTGTTTAACCTTCAAAGTCGAACAGTGGAAAGGGTTTATTAAGGAAACGACAAATTCCTACAAATAGGTTACAGTGTAACACGATTAAGCGTAACCTTGCTTAATTTGGTTTAGGAAGTTACACAATTAAAAAAACTGAAGCATTAAGAACAGTTTGTATGTGTACACTAAAATTCCATTTAAATACAAATTCTAATTAAAATGTAAATGGTGCTCCTATTGAATTTTTTATATCATAAGCACATTAATAATTGAAAATTGAGTTTTAATAATATAATGTACAAAAGCGCCTTGATGTATTGACTCCTTTGAGAAATATTGTTCTATATTGTAATAAATGAAGCGTAACAGTTATGAAGAACGAATATAAATCCGACTCCATCAATTACTTTCTTGGGGTTTGATAATATAATAACAAACGTTGTAGTGATCAATCACGCATTTCAATCACTTTTTCTTTTAAGCAATTTCTTACCTTATCGAACCCCATTTCTTAGTTTGAACTTGGATGGGAAACCTTATACAATCACTTAATACACAAAAAACACATTTAAACCTCCTATTTCGTGGGTGTTAGTATCAAAACTGATAGAAAACGAGTGAATTTATTCATTACCTTTGTCTCTGTTTTATACAGCGTATCGCCGCCAGAATCATACTCTGTAACCTTGCCACCGGTGGGAGTCGGAATAATTTTAGGTTTTCATACATGTTTATTCTGATGGCATGGTGCGATGCACCGTAAAGCCGAATTCTTTGTTATGACTGACGCTGGATGGATTTAAACTGACAGTTACAGACAAATCCCACAAATTAGCATTACGATACTTTTTCGAAACTACCGACGAGGAGATTAACCTCAACTAAAAACTTTGCCGTAGGTGATACAAAAAATGGTAGACTTGGCGTCATTGATTGTGTGAGATAGTCAGGGATTACTCTCGATTATAGACATGTTTGTCATTTGTTACGCTAGTAAAAGGGTTACATTTAACATAAAGTATGAAAGTAACTTGTGTGGTTTCACTTTCGGTGTACCTATTGTTTAAAGCAGCTTTGACAAAATTAAAAACTTTTTTTTCATAGAAAACTCGAAAGTGAACACATTCGTTTTACGTTTGTTTGTTTTAAACTACTGACATTACTGGGTATCTCGTGTACATTAGCAAAAGTTTTACTCACGACACCATTATTAAAACGATTGTAGTGAATCCGTCAATTATTGTACTAGCGTAAAAATGTAATTGAGATAACTTTTCAGAAATGATTTGTGTGATTAACAATCAACTATAAAGCTCTCATTCGCTTAAAACTTTAACACACATAATGATATGTACCTATGCATTCACTCTTTAGTAAAAATATCGTTCGTTTGCCCTTCTATATCTATACTATTATTGTTACGACAATGTGTAAAAGCTCGCATTATAGAAATAGTTTTTTTTCACTACTAGCGTCTGATGACATGATTATTAACCTTTTTTCCACTTGTAAAGTAGGCTTTCTCGGCAGTTGTTCAAAGTGGTTAATAATGTGGACATTATTAACTAGTAGCCAATAATGAGAACTGTCACACTGTCACTTTTAGAAAACACAACCCGAAATTTCGCTCAATAAACGTTTAGACAAGTTCTCTAAAATGAATAATTGCCACCATCCGCCATTTCCAGAGAAATTACATAGGTACCTAAACATTTCGAAAAAATTCGAACGAAATTACTCTTTAAAAATATCTCAATGACAGAACAAAATACGGCCTGTTTGACTTGTATTTCCAGGTACTTGATTGACAAGTTAAATTAATAAACAAAAAATTCTGTCCAACCGTTCACTTTCTTATCAATATAATATGTTAATTTAGAGAACTTCAAGTGCTAGTAGTGAAAAAAATAGTATATATACCACTGTAGGGAAGTCTATTATTGCCTTCGCACCTTACACCCCTCGGCGCAAGCGCCTCGAGATGTAATCTTGGCGCTCAGGCAATAATACTGTACTTCTCTACCTTGATATATAATGTATACTATTACTAGGACACTTGACCAAATGTACACGTTTGATGTTATTATATTATTACACACCGTATTTTTTTTAATAATAATAATAATGATTTATTGTCCAACAGATGTTTGTACATCCAATTACAGAACAATTACAGAAATAAAATATGGCATGATTGAAAAATAAACATAATATACTATAAATTGATTATCAAAAAAAATAAAAAAATAAAGAGATATTTAAATGTAAGGAGACATATATATCTACGAAATGACAAACCAATTAAAGATTAATGAAATAGATTAATTACATCTGATAATGAGCAGATATTTAAATCACATTGTGTGCAGTATTGATTACAATTTTGTGACATCAAACACACTGGCGATTTTAACAGCAAGTTCGTTCTGGGTGTCGGATTAAGAAAAACTAACGGATAGCGACTAGTACGAGGCGGAACATGAAAGTTAAATAGGGACAGTACGCTAGGACAATCAATACGGTTATGTAATAGACCATGGGTAAATTTAAGACTATTGCAAATACGTCTTTTCTCCAATGATTGCAGATTAAACCGGCTAAGCAGTTCATCATAGGGACAACCTCTAGCCGGATAGACACCATCTTGCTTAAACGAAACGTACTTCATAAATCTTCTTTGAATTTTCTCAATTGAGATAATGTGGGTCCTATAGATCGGATACCAGATAAGATCACAGTAATCCAATTTGGGCCTTATTAAAACACAATACAAGGACAACAACGTATCAGTATTTTTAAACGGTTTACTATTACGAATTATGAAACCCAATGTTTGTATAGCTGACGCAGAAATAGCTTGAATGTGGTTTGAAAAATTTAACCGTTGATCAAACACTACTCCCAAATCTTTTGCAACGGTCACACGATTAAGAGGAACAGAGTCAATACAATAATCATACTGAATGACATGCTTTCTAGTATAAGACAATATTTTGCATTTACCAATATTTAGATCCAATCTATTATCAGTACACCAATCATGAATAATATTTAATTGTTCTTGCAGGTGAACACAGTGGCTCTCAGAGCCAATCTTCCGAAATATTTTTAAGTCATCCGCAAATAATAGGCACTTACAGGAGAGTACCTTGGTAATGTCGTTAATAAATAGAAGGAACAAGAGGAGTCCCAAGTTAGATCCTTGAGGCACCCCAGAGGATGCAATAAAGACTTCGGATTTAAAATTATTATAGCATACATACTGTAGACGATTAGATAAGTATGATGTAAAGAGCAGGCTAAGAGAGTCGCTGAATCCAAAACTTCTTATCTTTTTAATAATTAAGTTGTGATCGATAATATCGAAAGCTTTGCGGAAGTCTGTGTATATTACATCAACTTGTCCTTGATCATCTAGTACTCGACTTGCAAATTCCGTGAAACAAATAAGATTCGTTGCTGTGGATCTAGAGCGCATGAAACCATGTTGATCGCTTGAAATGTAGTTTCTAATCATAGGATAAACAAAGTTAAACAAGGTAATTTCAAATATTTTTGAAAAAGTAGAAAGAACGCTTATGGGCCTATAGTTAGATATTTCAGACGCATCGCCAGATTTCAATACAGGACATATTTTTCCTATCTTCCAAACGTCAGGATAACTATGAGTACTAAGTGCCAGATTAAATATAATACACAAAGGATAAATGAAAATATGCTTACAGTCCTTAAGAATGATGGAATTTGGTCATTTCCGGAAGTTTCTTTATTTTTTAACTTTGATATTGCGTCAATGACCATACCTTCTGTTACTCTTTGCAAATGTACGCATGGAATATTGGTGAAGGGCTCATTGGAAACATTTGTATTCTGCGACTGACGATAAACTCTTGAGAAATACAGCTGCAATGCATTAACAATTTCAACTGAAGTAGTAAGAGAATTACCATCATAGTTCATAACACCAGGAATTCTGGAGTAACCCTTTCTGGCTCTTACGAACGACCAAAATTGTTTAGGGTTAGTAATTAATGTATTCTCAACGCTAACAGCATAGTTTTTGTAAGCTTTTTTGGAATGATATACTTCTACCGTCAGCGATTTTTATTGACTGATCTTAGTTACCGTGGATACAATAAACAAGACAAAATCTAGATGAATCCATGGCCTACTATTTAAAAACCGTAAAAATAAAGTTTTTAATATTGGTTCACGGCTAAAATTAAAAGAAATATGAGTTGTGATACACCACTATGATCAAGAAAAAAATGCAAAGAATTGACGTTAAGATATACAGACTGTTGCATTTAAAAAAATACCAACTTTTTGGGTCAAATCTCAGAAACGGCCGGTGGTCCAAAATATTTTTCATGACTGCGCCACTGGATTCTACGTAAAAATATTTAAAATAGACAGTTTTTACTTTTTTTTCTAAAGGATAGTAAGAGTAAGTAAAGTCCCAAAAAGTGTAACATTTCGTTTTCACCCTGTATTCCAGAAACAAATGTAGCTATACTGATTCTGTTTATGGTATTAAAAGTTTAACAAAAAACTGGCACAGGGTCGCGAAAACTGCAAGATGTGTGTATCCTTAGGTGACATACACAGGATACACTGCAGTTTCAACCAAATGGGACACACGGTACATTTCACGAAACCGTGTCAGTAAAGATATTTGCAGCTCTATAGAACTTACAGTTTTACTGAAGTCGAACTATACGTACGTGGTTTTTTTTAAATGTGACGCCTTGTATATTCATTTTTTTCAAATCTCCCGTAATTTTGGAGTATATCACCAAAAGCCTAAATCAACGGTAACATAGCTATTGGTACCTGTATGTGACATAAGTGTGTTTACTGGGTATTTGACCTATTCCACATGCCTTGGTATACAGGGTGTTACACGACCGTTCGAAAAAAAAAAATCGGGTTGTAGAGGGCATCAAAACAAGCACTTTTTCCAAATAAACCGAGGGTCCAACGTGTTTCGTTTGGGAGCCACCCCCCAAAGAGTGTTGAAATCTGCATTTCTTCTTTAATTTTTTTCTCAGCAACCATAAGAGTTACAAAGTCGGGTGGCATGTCTTTGAATAGGTTTTTGGGTATGCTCTTTCCGATTTTGCAATTTTTTTTCAAAATTCCTACCCCTAAAGGGCGCACCCCTAAACTAGGGTGCAAAAAAAATTCTGATTTCGACGAAATTTGGTATCTGGGGGTTTTTTAACATGAAAATCACGAATCTGAAATTAGTTTTTGAAAATTCGAAAAAAAAAGTTCCACTGCAATTCTTGGCGGGACAACGAAAATAGAGATAATTCCACGAAATTTGTTGTGTACATACTAAACGAGTTAAGGAACAAAACTGTCGAACAGTTTTTTAAAATAACTTTTCAAACAAGTTATACTCATTTGAATGTTGGTCCTTCGGGTCGCGAAGTGTCCCAAGCCTACTAGTAAGCCATAATTTCGCATGTGTTGGTTGACAATGTCGCAAAAACAAAAGATTAACGGTTTGAGTCGATATTTTGTTATTTGGAATTAATTCGGTCATTAAATGATTAAAAAATTCGATGTATCGATTAAAACACATACCAAGGTATCTTAAAGCGCTGATCGATTATTTATTATCTAAATAAGGTAGGGGAAAA